GGTATTTGGTCCAAACGTAAGATATACGTTTGTTTTGTGCCATGAGATGAGTGGTTCAAAAAGTAGAGCCAGAGAGGGAGCATGAAGCTATACGGACTTGTACGTGTACCGGATCTCTATTTTTTTTTATTTTTTTTTTTACGGATTGTTAGTTCTCTGTATAAGTTAATCCAGTTCATCCCTTTTCCTGGTCTCTCCTACCCCTCTTCTACACCTTACCAAACACAAAGAACAACCTTAATTAGTACATCGTTGAGTGTCGAATCTTTTGAGAGTTTCCCTCTGTTTCGTCCCATGAATCTGCGCTGTGAGAGGTTTATTTGTTGGATGTTTGAGGCTTACTTAAATAAAATATTGAAAAGTTAGTACCTGATATGATGGGTGTACAGGTCTCTGCTAGCTCATCTATGTATGCATTGATGTTGTGTTTAGTAGCATGTTGAGCTGTCTTTTTCTTGCTATTTGTAGTGTTCTCTGTTAATGGTATAATAACAAGGGTACTTTGTCCAATTCGACTGTTTCATATGAAGAGTTTCGAAGTGTATTTGATTCATCTGACTGTGTTTTTCATCGCAGGAAAAGATGCGAATACTTTTGTATGTGCAGAAGGCTGCCTTGCACTTTATTGATGGTATGATCATGTTTGTGTTACACAATTTTCTGAATTTAGTTCTTGTGGGGTTACCTGCTTACCATTTGGTGTATACAGCGGCCAGTCAGATTGATCAGCCAAGCATTTCAGACGAGATGAGAGAGGCTGGTTTCCAAATTGATCCGGAGGAGCTTGCTGGCATTGTTCGTTCTCATGATTCCAAGCGTTTGGGGTTCCACGGGGGAGTGGGAGGTTTGGAGCGAAAGCTGTCTGTGTCTCTTGAGAATGGTGTGCCCTCGAGTGAGATTACGAAAAGGCAAAACCTCTTTGGGTTGAATAGATTTGTTGAGAAACCTTCCAGGCCTTTCTGGATGTTCGTGTGGGAGGCTCTTCAGGACCTAACTCTCCTTATCCTCATGGTTTGTGCTGTGGTCTCTATAGGTATTGGGATTGCCACGGAAGGGTGGCCGAAGGGAATGTATGATGGTTTGGGGATAATTCTCTGTATTTTCTTGGTGGTTTTAGTCACTGCAGTGAGTGACTACAGGCAATCTTTGCAGTTCAAGGACCTGGATAAAGAGAAGAAAAACATTCAAATTCATGTCACCAGAAATGGGAGCAGAGAAAAAGTTTCTATCTATGATTTAGTTGTTGGGGATATTGTTCACCTCTCTATTGGAGATCAAGTCCCAGCAGACGGGCTTTTCATCTCGGGTTACAGCTTATGGATTGACGAATCCAGCTTATCAGGGGAAAGCGACCCGGTTAGCATTGATGAAAAGAACCCCTTTCTTCTATCCGGGACTAAAGTCCAAGACGGAGCAGGCAAAATGCTGGTGACAGCAGTTGGAATGAGAACCGAGTGGGGAAGATTAATGGTCACCTTGTGTGAAACCGGAGAGGACGAGACACCATTGCAGGTGAAACTAAACGGTGTAGCCACTATCATTGGCAAAATCGGTCTGGCTTTTGCTATCTTGACATTCGTGGTGCTTACAGGCAGGTACTTGGCAGTAAAAGCAAGTCTTGGAGAAATCACGGAATGGGCTTCAAACGATGCGTTACGCCTCATGAATTTCTTCGCCATTGCTGTAACTATACTAGTTGTTGCTGTTCCCGAAGGGTTGCCACTAGCCGTGACACTAAGTCTGGCATTTGCAATGAAGAAACTAATGAATGACAAGGCTTTAGTCAGGCATCTTTCTGCCTGTGAGACAATGGGTTCTGTTACTTGCATTTGCACAGATAAAACCGGAACATTAACTACAAACCACATGGTTCTAACCAAGTTGTGGATATCGGGCGAAACCAAGGTAATAAACCAAATCACTGACCCTCGAAACGCTTTGAAGGCTTTAATATCAGAGAAGACACTGACAGTTCTCTTGCATTCCATATTTCAAAACACGAGTGGTGAAGTGGTTAAGGATAAAGACGGGAAGAACAACATACTTGGTTCACCAACCGAGATGGCATTATTAGAGTTCGGGTTGATACTTGAAAGTGATTTCCAATCAAGATCCCGGGGCTCCAAAATTGTAAAAGTTGAACCTTTCAACTCAACTAAGAAGAAAATGTCTGTTCTTGTGGCTCTTCCAGGAGGTGGCCATAGAGCATTCTGTAAGGGTGCATCAGAAATCATCTTAAGTCTTTGCAACAAAATTATTAACAAGGAAGGGAATTCCATGCCTCTATCTGATGAACGTAGAATCGCTATCTCCAATGCTATAAATAAATTCGCTTGTGAAGCTCTGAGAACACTTTGCCTCGCTTTTCAAGATGTAGAAGACTATTCTCCTAGCAGTAATATTCCAGAAAATGACTATACACTCATAGCTCTCGTTGGAATCAAAGATCCAGTTCGGCCTGGTGTGAAAGAAGCTGTTCAAACTTGTTTAAATGCAGGAATTACAGTGAGAATGGTGACCGGTGATAACATCAACACTGCTAAAGCCATAGCAAAAGAATGTGGCATACTGACTGATGATGGTATAGCCATCGAAGGCCCAGATTTTCGTGACAAAACCCCTCAAGAAATGAAGGATATAATGCCAAAGTTGCAGGTTATGGCACGATCGTTACCTTTGGACAAACACAAATTAGTTACCATGCTGAGAAGGGATTTCCAGGAAGTGGTGTCAGTTACTGGTGATGGGACTAATGATGCTCCTGCTTTGCATGAGGCTGATATCGGATTAGCTATGGGCATAGCAGGAACTGAGGTTTGTAACTCTTTTCTCTTCGATTATCCCCAAACTTTTGTGAACCCAATCCTGGTTTTCCAATGTCTTTAGAATCTGTACTGCAGGTTGCCAAAGAAAATGCTGATGTTGTGATAATGGATGACAATTTTTCAACTATATTGGTTGTGGCAAAATGGGGTCGCTCGGTTTACATTAACATCCAAAAGTTCGTTCAGTTCCAGCTGACAGTGAACGTGGTTGCCCTCATGACAAACTTCATTTCTGCCTGTCTTATAGGTAGTGAACTGAACCGGACCATTTCATTCTGTGTTATTGCTTCACCCTGAGCTATGGAACTATGGATGCTTAATTTAATTTACATTTAACTCGTGATCTTAGGCTCGGCACCCCTTACTGCTGTTCAGCTCCTTTGGGTGAATATGATCATGGACACTCTAGGTGCTTTAGCACTCGCAACAGAGCCTCCCAGTGATGAACTATTGAAGCAGCCACCGATTGGAAGGAATGTTAACTTCATTACAAGGATCATGTGGAGGAACATCATAGGCCAAAGCATTTATCAAATGGTAATCCTTTGTGTACTCCAGTTTCGTGGGAAGGATCTCTTAAACCTTGACGGTCCACTCGCTACTATAACTCTAAACACCATGATCTTCAACACCTTCGTGTTCTGCCAGGTATCCCCAATCTTGAGCTTCTAAGCTGGCAAATTTCCCCAACTCCTTGACTCTGAGCACTAAAAAGATGTTTTTTTCTTTCTTTTTCTGTTAGGTATTCAATGAAATAAACAGCAGGGACATGGAGAGAATAAATGTTTTCAGTGGCATGTTTAGCAGTGGATTATTCATGGGAATCATAATCTCCACAGTGGCTTTTCAGGCAGTGATAGTGGAATTCTTGGGGACATTTGCAGATACAGTGCCATTGAGTTGGAACCTGTGGGTAGCCAGCATCTTGATGGGGGCCGTAAGCTTGATCATTGGAGTTCTGCTGAAATGCATCCCGATTAACAACTCTGAAACAATCAAGAACCATGACGGTTATGAGCAGCTCCCATCGGGACCCGACCTGGCATGAAGAGTAGGTTAGAATTTCTGCGGATTTTGTTTACCCAAATTTATACAGAATGTAGCAGTCAAGAAATATTCCTTTAACTATAGCTCTGTTTGTTCTTTGTTGTTTTTTTTTTCTTGATAACATTGAGATTCAAGACTGCCCTGGCCTTCCCATTATAGAAGGCAGAGAGCTGTAGTTCCTTTTGTTATTTTGTCATCTGTAATTCAATTTTGCCATTCCATAGTGGAAATTTCTACCCATTGTTTATGTAAAATGGAGAGTGAACTCATTATTTATAAATTACAGATACATGCAACCAGGCAACTTTCAAGTCCTCAAGTAATCTAATCTAAGTTCCCCATTTTGCAAGGTTCTTCATTAGTTATTTGTGCTCAAGTAATATAACTAAGTTCCCTTTAAAGAATGGATATAAATACCCTTGAGGGGGCCTCATTTGTAACCAAGCAACTTTCAAGTGCAAGTAAAATTTAATTTAAGTTCCCTTTAGAGATGGCCTCATTTGTAACCAAGCAACTTTCAAGTGCTCAAGTAAAATCTAATCTAAGTTTCCTTTAAAGATTTTGTATGGTTTCTCATTAGTTTTTTGCCTTAAGTGACATATTGTTTTCCTAGCCCGTGACATATAGATCTCACAGATGGTTCTTAATTTTTTGCCTTACAGTGACATATTGTTTCCCCAGCCCGTGACATATAGATCTCATAGATGGTTCTTCATCAGTCTGTGACATATTAGTTTCATTAGTCCGTGGCATATAGATTTCACCGTGACATATAGATTTCACAGATGGTTCTTCATTAGTTATTTTTGGCATATTGAATGTGAAAATATTTGATCTCACAGATGGTTCTTCATTAGTCCGTGACATATAGATTTCACAGATGATTTTTCATGAGTTATTTTTGACATATTGAATATGGAAATATTTGATCTCACAGATGGTTCTTCATTAGTTGGCAATTGAATGGAAATATTTTAGGTTCTCACTTGACGCTGAAGGAGGAACAAGTCCATGACATACAGATCTTATTGGTGTCATAGTTCATTTTCTTCATTAGTTATTTTTTGCATATTGAATGTGAAAATATTTTAGGTTCTCACTCCAAATTTCTGCTTTTGAACAAGTTCAAATTGAACAACAATCATTTCAAACTGACTTTAGATGCAAATTGTATGCAACAAAATGCATAGTGAATGTGAAATCAATTGCCAGTATTGTAGTACATAAACCAACTACAAGATGAACAAGAGCATTTTTCTACAAGTCGTATAAACTCTAGCCGATTTTGTTCATCAACTAAGATGAAGAGTTGGCTTGCTTTCTTACAAACAGCTTGCTTATGTCTTCTGTGACGACATTGCTCCTGCCAACAACCACTTTAAATCATTAGTAAAATCGTCATTATCTACCGTAAATTATGATGCAGTATCAAACTTTTGCATTGGTCTACATAAAAAGATGCATTGGTTTACAGAAAAAGAGAATTAGCTTCATTCTTAACAATTACTCATATAGGAAAAGTTAAATAGCATTAAAGCCGAAAGGTTCTGGTCTAGAAGGGTAAGTATAGAAAATGAACTCACTCTCTTCATATGCAGGCAGTCAGCCACATATAGAATAGAATATAACACCAGCCTAACTGACAAAAATAGCGAAAGGACCCGTGGGCCCCAATAAATGCAAGGACTCGAAACTGCGACCTATAGGTTGCAGGTGAGGGTACTAGCCGTACCAACTAAGCAAACAACACCCTAGGTCCCGTGGGGCCCAATAAATGCAAGGACTCGAAATTGCGACCTATAGGTTGCAGGTGAGGGTACTTGCTGTACCAACTAAGCAAACAACACCCTCTCTTGTTAGAGAAATGTAAGTATGTAACTGAACCTCCACATTCATAAGTCAGGTTCAAGATTTAAACATTGAAGATCGAAGGAACTACAGTATGATTATAGCTTTCGACAATTAGTACAGGTAGAGAGAGATCCATCCTTAATAGTGAAAATTGAAAAGGATTTTGTTTTCATTGGTAACAGAAAACATTCCTTTAAAACTTTTTCCACAAATGGGTTAAAATGGCTCACCCAAGAATGGTCCACACGCCATTTTCATCAAACTAAACTAATGGGGGTTCTACTCCAACTCAAGTATTTCTCTCCTCACTAAAACTTCTGTCCTTTTATCCTTCACCTTCATGCCACCCTCCCCCATACTCTCTCTCCACAGCTCTATGCCTTAAAGATGGATTTCTAATTTCGGTTATATCTAATATATCCGTATTGCGCCTTCCATACACTAAGCACTTGCATCATGGACCTAACATGTTTAACTACTTCTCATGGTAAGGCAGTCTACTCTTCCGTCAATGGTTTAGCCTAGCAAAGTGTTATCAATTTCCCTTTTAAATGTTTGGCTTTAATTGTCTCAAATGTTTCAGTTGTTTGTGCACCTAACTTCTTTTTTTTTTTAATTATTCAATTACTAAAGTAGAGCCAGTAGACAATATGTAGAACTCCATTAGTATATCTTGCACGCTCACGTAAAGAATTGAAACAGATAGCAAACATAAATCTATAAAATATGCATCCTAGTGCTAGCCAACTTAAGAAAAAAGGTAATATCATAAACATATATAGCATAACAGCATCATACCAAATGTTCTAAGAAATAATGACAATAGTTTCAGCATCAAGCTCACCTTCCAGCAAGTTGAGGGGGAAGTAGATGACCACCTACAGTGTCAGGAAAATTCTTCGTATGGGGCAATGGACCTTTTGGGACTTTACTGCGTGGATAGCTGCTGGATGCTGGCCCACTTAAGTCTCTCTTCTTTGTTGCGTTTTCAGCCATGGCTGCTGCCACCCGAGATGAATGGTCAGATGCACGATCAAGATTAGCTGGCAATGAAGGCGAATTCAAGAGGAATGAAGCATCAGGAAGTTTCAACTCAGATGGTTGCGATGGATGGGAGAATTCCAATTTTTGCTTCTTTGAAAACGGCTCTGCTTGTCTACATGGGCAAACAAACGTAACCGCACATACTAAGAAGCAAGAACAATATCAACTAAAGAGTAGTAAATAACACTGCTGAGCTCATCCCAATTACAACGAAACATTTTCATTCTAGAGATGCTGCAATTACACATCTTGATAGGACTTTAATCCATGGATAATGTTCTAGCAGCATGAATTTTTTAAAAAAAGAAAAAAAAAATCATGAATTTCCCCAAATTAACAAAAGACTAGCTTCATTGAGTATTAGGAAGCATCCTGAAGAAAACCCTTCCATTATTCGAAATAATTCTACATGAATAAGCACAAAAATTTAGCTGCAATTGTAATAAGCACAAAAATTTAGCTGCAATTCTAATAAGCACAAAAATTTAGCTGCAATTCTAATAAGCACAAAAATTTAGCTGCAATTCTAAAATAACAAATAATCCTGCATTGTCTAAATAAACAAACCCTAGCTGACTTTGCAACGAAGAATTTGAAACCACGTGAATGGGAATTCAGAATCTTTGAGAAATGGAGAAAAATTTATACTTGCTCTCGATCCGAGAAGGGGGTGGGACCTCTCTTGGAGCAGCTGGGGATTGTGAGGCGGCTGCTTTCACTTCTTTTTGCTGGTTTTGTTCTCTCAATGGTTCTTGTAACTCTGTATCTTCTTCTTCATCAGAAGATTCATAATCCACTAGTGACATCTCTCTCTCTCTCTCTGCTCGATTTACTGTTCGTCTTTCCCCACCAATCTTCTACCACGCTGCTACCCTGTCACTGAGGCCGGAGGTCCTAGAAGAACACGCCAATTACTATTACCGGAGTTTTTTTTTTCTTTTTTTTCCGTTTCACCCAAAACCATGATACATTAAGATATAATGGATAATCGAACAAAAAATCAGAGTGGCGCAGCGGAAGCGTGGTGGGCCCATAACCCACAGGTCCCAGGATCGAAACCTGGCTCTGATAATTTTTTTTAACCTAACAAGTCAGCCTACCCGTCCAAAAACTTTAATAACCTACTTCTTTGTCTTTTACTTTTTTTTTTTTTTTTTTTTTTTTTTTTAACAAATCAAATTAATATATAAAAGATAAATCACTAAAAAAAATTTTATTAAAATAAAATTACTTCACCACTTTAAGTACATAAATTCACCCTTGTAAGTACATAAATTTAATAGCATCAATGTCATTTTAATTCACTAATATAAATACATAAATTCACTATATATTATCAAATGTAAATACATAGATTCAATTCATTATTGTCTTTGTCATTTTAATATATCTCTTGCTATTATTTTTATGTAACTATGACCAATGACCTTGTGATCTAGTAGCACATAATAATTTTTCCAAATAGCTTTAACCCTCGGTAGAGGTAACATTGACTCTTTGTACTTCAGTAGGTTCAAAAAATAGTTATGAACTGATATTACATTGTAACAGAGTTAATACACAGTAGTACTAAAACAAAAAATGTAACTATGAATCCTATAACTCAATAGTAAACCCACAAGAAAACTTTAAATTCATAAGCACTATAAATATTTATCACAAAATTAGTAATGGGATCCCATAACTCAACTTTATTAATTCAAAAAACAAAGAACATGAATGGAACTAACAAAACACTCACCTCTTCCCATCACCCTGAAACTAGTCTACATAACTTCAAACAAAATCTACTGAATACACAACTATTTTCAGGACTGTAAAAACAAACTGCAAATTTAACAACACTACACTACTTCCCAAGTAATGCAGGTCTGTAGAAGGCATGGCTTTGTGCAATCTCAATCCGATCCCGGGGGTCGTTCATAGTTTCGTCTCTCAGCGCCTGAAGAATAGCCTCGGTTGATGCCTCTCTAAATTGTTGAGCAAGGAGTGCGTTTAGATTTTGCATCGGAAAAAAAAAAAAAAAAAAAAACCTCGAAGAATAGTAAAAATAATGGCTTGGTACCTCACTATTAGAATTTTATATAACGTCTTTAAGATGGGGCAAAGTTCGACTGCTACAACGTTCTTGTTTTCACCCGAATCATAAATGTTTAAACTTGATTGACTGAGCAACTCGTAGAAGGCTTTCACTGCCGAAACTCCCTATAAGAACATGATTAGTCGCTACCCAATCACTACATCTTAGAATAATTAAGAAACGTACCTGTATCATCCCTTTCCCCTTGATGCTATCGCCCATTTCGAGACTTAATTCTCCTTTAGCCAACTTTTGGCCATACCATGCATTACGACCTTTCAGAAGGGTCACATATGTGTCAGCCAAGAGAGGACCCGCAAGTTTCTCCGGTTCTTCCGTCAAAAGATGAGTAATAAATATCATCTCAGATGTACAATGTGCGAAGTATACTGACTTGCTTGTGGCACTCTCATTCGTGAGAGCTGCTACCATACCTGTTCGGTCCAAATCAAAGTTATAAATGAATTCATGCTACGAGTTCAATTATTTATATACAAATTGTGACTTCTATTACTTTTTGCATTCAATCGTATTTATTTATGCGTTCTCGTTCATTACAAATAACCAAAAATAGAAAATGGATTTATCAATTAATATCACAAGCAAATGTAGAGTGCAAGGGATTAGACATATTGGAATCTGGGAGACACAAGTCTCATCGTTTACATGAGGGTAATGTTATTTCAAAGGGCCGGTAAATCATTCTTCAGAATATGCAAGGGACATTCAATACCCACACCTGATGATTTGTAAGCAACAATTTGGGAGACATTAAAGTCGGGATAAGAATAGCAAAGCTTCAAATAATGGGTGAAAAATTAATTTCTTATATTATCTGTCAACATCTTCTTTAAGGCTAATAAAACACAAAAAGAAGGAAGATGACATCCTGCCTTGCTTATTATCAATAGGGGACGAGAGTTTATGCCCAAGAAACAAGCCATCTTTTTCAGTGCTACCTAAAAGCTGTATTTACGAAAAAGACAGACATGGTTCCACTGTTCACCTCCAATTTATAATCAAATTATAAATAACAGTCCCCGGGAATAACAGTGCCAAGACTTAAACTGATGTCTAAAATAACAGGAAAGGAGGCAATCACTTAGTTATCTATTAGACCCTAATCAAGCATTTCTAGTTTGTTGAAATTGCATGACAATAAAACCAGCTTGGCTGGCGTGAGTGGCTATGCACTCTCATCCGTTAAGAGAAGTCGGGAGTTTGAACCCCCTCTCGTATGGAAAAACCAATCTGGCCAGCACTTTGCCCCTTAATTGGGCCGGGCCAGTGCGAATGGGGATTAGTCTGAGTATGGTACGGGCTTAAAGGTGCCTCCTGCAGTTAGGGCCTGCTCAGGACACCTCATGCCCTGACCAAAAAATAATAAAAAATTGCATGACAATACAAAATATTGCATTGACCGTGTACATATTCAAGGCTACTAGAGATTCGAGGAAGGAAGAGAAAGGTTTTACCAGCTCCAATGGCATACACATTCTTCAAACCACCCATAACCTCATGCGTCACTAGGTCACCATTGTCCCACACAATAAAGTGTGGCTGCCTCAAAAATTTTGCCATTGCTTTTCTCCATTTCTCAGCTCCACATATACGAGCATTAGCATATTCTCTGTTGTAAATTTCAGATGCAATATTAGGTCCCCCAAGATACAGGATGTTCTCTAGAGGAACTCCAGCTGCAAAATAAAGTTTCAAGATGAGAGGAATAAAAGGAATAGAACTCATCAAAGTAGAACTCTACAATTCTACATCAATAGAAAAAGATTTTGAGAGACATTTGCATATAAATCAGCAGAACTTAGAGATGAGAATCCTCAGGAATGTCATGAATTGCGATTACTAATTTCATATTGGATATATCAGAGTTGAATGAAAACTTTGAGGGGAAAAGATTAAGAACCCTTACTTGCTCGATTGATCATCTGAGTGGGGGTAACTAGCCGAGGTTCAGGCTCTAATTCAGCTTCTATCCCCTTTGCTAAAGATATAATGACAGGAATAGTGATTCTTTCCTTCCAATACCGACTAATTTCTTGAAACACTACTTGAGTTTCGGTCGATGGCAACCCATTGATGACAATATCAGCATCCCACACGGCCTCCTGCAAGTTGGTGACAACCTTTAAAGGGCAAAGTGGTGTGTCAATCATATTCATGCAAAATCCATCCTTCAAAATCTCATCTGCATTTAACGTTCTATCACCTAATCTCGCCTCTACATACTTCAAGTATGCACACCGTCTTATTAGCCTCCTTAATACACTTTCCCTTGAATTGATCACCTCGAATAGATGCTCAGCTGTAGCTCTATCAACGGCTCTTCCAGCTCTACGCCATATCCTAATTTGAACCTTCTCTCTAAGCCCGCCATATGCATCTTGCAGCATTGCTATAAAAACACTACCCCACGCCCCTGCCCCTACACCTACAATTCTCAAGGGATCACCATCTGCTTTCCCAAATAAAACCCGAAGCTCATCCACCTTTTCTTCAATAGAAACAGACCCATTCAAGTACACACGATTGCTTTCTCCCTCAGTAGCTCCAACCATCTTCCTAAGTGCAAATCACAATACTAAAACAGCTTAATCCACTATTCATGCACTACAAAAAATCTTCCTTTCCTACTCTGGTTATCTTCAAATCTACAAATCTGAATGCAAAGCAGTAAAAGGTGTGGCTAAGATCCAATTTTTTTGTATAATTTGAGATTACCAAGAAGAAATCTGGAAAAATCAAAGGTGTCAGCAATGGAATAGACGAATTATCGTCGCAAGACAACAACTTTATTGCTGAAAATCAAGAAACCCTAGTAGTATGAGTTTTTAGAACATTGGTTTTAGCTCAATTCCTGGATATCACAACCATTTATCCCAAGAAGAAAAAGGCTTGGAAAACTCCGTAGCAGGGGAAACTTCGGTGAACTACCCAACCGAAAAGTCGGCGCAAAAACAAGAACGCAAAAGTAAACACACTAAGGAGATAATAATATGCTACACAGCCTGGCACCTTGTCGTAATGCTGAAGAAATGGCGGCGAGGGAACTAAAATACCTACAACAACGCCAGAAGGATTCAGAGAAACTCACGCGTTGCTGATGGGGCGGAAGAAATGGGTAAAACCCTGGAAAGGCGCGGATTATGATCAAGAAATTGTGACGAAATCATGCAGATTACTTCTGGGTTTTAGCTGTTTGGGTTTTTCGCGTGAAGAAAATGAAATGTGACGAAAATCTGAGTTTGTTTCCAGAATTGGGCTTCCACCGACTGCCGTGTGATTCCGTCATTTTCACCCCTACCAGTCCCCGGATGAAATCACATTAAAGATACCCTTATTTTTTAGTATCTCGCACATTTTTTTTAGTACTTCGCATATTCACATTCTTGAAATATTACATTAATTGAAATTTTAAACAAGTAACAATGGACCAGGATTCATATTGTAATATGGACTATGGTGCGTATGTATATGTCTTATATGATAAATTCTTGTATTTTGTGTTATGAAATTTTATACCTGAAACAAATTAATAATTGTATTTTGTGTTGTGAAAGCCTATAACACAAATTAAGTACCTAAACTATATTTTTTTTAAAACAAAGCGAGCATTATTATTAACGGTAAATAGCTCGATGGGTGGCAAAATTCTGAAAATCACACAAAAGAGCCAATTTGACCTTTACAAACAAAGAATTAAGAGAACAAAAAATAGAGGGCGAGCAAACACTGAGACCCACCGCTGCAAAAATATCGACAACCTGATTAGCCTCCAGATAAACATGCCTGATCGAAGAACCCCACGACGAGAGGAAAGACGAATGAAGAGAATAGCTTCATTTATCTTCCACGGGATCCTCGCCATCGTAGAGGAAACAATATGAGCAAGAGTTAGAGAATCAACTTCAATAAAAGAAGGCAACATAACCATTGTATCACACCATTGAAGAGCATAACTCAACGCTAAGGCTGTTTAAAAAAAAAAAAAAAAAAAAAATTACTCAACGCTAAGGCTTTGGCCTCAAGAGCCGAGGAAGACGACTGACGGAAACAAAGCCCAGCAACAATCTGACCGTGAGAGTCCCTAAGGCATGCCTAAACTATATTTGAAAAATATATAAATATATAACATGTATGTATCTTGTGTTGTAATTTTTTGTGTCTTGGATTATGAAATGATGTACCTTATGAGTACAAATTATGTATCTCATCATTTCGATCCAAACTCTATAATGCTATATGTAGACTTTAGTCCATGATATAAATTTATCATCGGATAGTGATTATAAATTTTTCTCATTATCTAAAAAAAACGATAAAATGGTTATTATAAATTTTGTATTGCTATTAAAAATCTTATATAAAGTATAAAGTAATATATACTCCATAACATATTAATATTAAAGTAATTATAAGTAATGCGAAAATTTTGAACATTATTTAATAGTTTTTTATCTTTTATTTTTCTTTTAGATGGATAAAAAAAAATACAATCAACTATGCTTCTGTTGTAATGTTTGTGCTCGTTGGCCTTTACCTCTTAACCGGTGATTGCAGGATTGAATTACAATGTAAAGATAAAAGTGAAGTGAATGTAGAACAATAGACAAGGAGAGCCAAGACAAGGAATTCTTATTCAACCATTTCTATCTTCCATACAACCATAACACATCTATATATAATATACAAATGTAACGGAAGACATAATGCAGCCATTAATCACTTAACCGTTACATAATCAATACTAATAATGGCCACAATAAAAACATATTTATAACACTCCCCCTTGGACATTATTTGGCCACGATCTTGCCTCATTAAAAACTTGCTAGGAAAACCCTGTGGGAAAAATCTAGACAATAAGAGAGTACAATAGAAAATATATTCATGCCTCATTAAAAACTTCACTAGGAAAACCACGTGGGAAAAAACCTAGTTGAAGAAAAGAGTACATGATATATGTAAAAACATATATTGTATTGGTCGCCTCATTAAAAACCTTAACTTAAGAAAACCCTGTAGGAAAAACTTAGTTAAGGGAAAAAGAGTACACCATAAGCGCAGCCTTCAGGGCATAATCTGCATAATCTTCAGGATTTTGGAGTTTGTTCATTTATTAACCAATTATTTTGCAACTTTTCCCCATTGTCATTACTATATCATACTCATGCCTCGTTAAAAACCACACTAGAAAATCCATTGGGAAAAACCTAGTGAGAAAAAGAGTACATGGTATATATATGCTGCAAAAAGTATAACTATTAGTCCTTTTAAGACCCAATCTACAGGATTGACTCAATTGAATATATACGCTGCAAAAAGTGCAACTATTAGTTTTTTTAAGACCCAATCTACGGGATTGACTCGAGTGAATGTACTTCATGTCTCCCCCTGAAGATAACAATTTTCAAATTCTACATTGCCTGTAAAATCATTGTTTCTAAAGGGTGTAGAGAAGGGATATGGTACAATTTTCAGGATTGTCATTAGAATTTATCATATTTTCTCATGATCATCTGGACCAGTAAAATTATTTATAGTTTATATTTTGTTGCTCCACCTAAATATAATAATTTTTCTTTATCTACCCATATCAATCTTATGGATATTTTGTAGGTATATATTTGCTAACTTGTCACTGGAGCAAACCTTCTGTACAAATATTTTATCACTCTTCTGGAGTTCATGTGGATCAAGGTATTTTATATCATGAAAAACTATATACGTTTTTATCTGTAACAAGTATGATGACTTCATGCCAAAAAACATCAATACAAGTATTTGTACCTTGATTTACTATTCGTTATCTTATCTCATAACTTAACATCATCAAGCTCTTTACATATTTCATTGATGATTACACCATAAATATTGACTGAGATAATAAATAAGTTCATTATCAACTCTTTATTGAGCACATAATGGTACATATTATTCCTTCTATATGAGGATAATAACCCCATTCGCAACTCTTTAAAGAGTAAATAATGACACTTAAATAAATCCTCATTTCGGAAATTATAAATCCATTAGGGATTTTTCAAGATAAACTAGAGGATATGTTTAGGATATTTTCAAGAGGAAACAATATTTAAGTTTCCTAATCACATATAAAATTACTAGGCATGTTTATGATAATATGTTTTCATACTTTATTATGGGGGAGAAAATACCTTTAGTCAATTTATTGACTATAAGAAAAATCATAGTTAGTAACTTACTAACTTTTATACTTCTTATTTTGTGATTTTCATTCATCACATTTTGAGAAAATCCATCAAGGATTTTAAATATAAGTAACAAGTTACCCATATAAATATGTGATAACTATAACTATTAGCTACATATCTAATTTATTTACTGCTAGTTTTATTGAATAGCGGAATATAAAGCCATGACTAATATTGGGTCTCTGCGAAAACCCTCAACTCGCCTTTTATTAGCGAGTTTTGATTTGTATGCCTTAATTGCTCTTTTCTATCAAAACAGTTAGCACGATGCAGACGTTATGCTACTGTTTTTATTTCTGGATCCAGATTTAAGTATTTATGAGCAATAGAGGCAAAAAATGTTGTCGACAACTATAACAGCTTTGTAAATATCTTTTATACACATGGCAATTTTGTATCAACAAATATATGGCATTTCCCAAGATTATTTGAATTTGGTTGTTCCGCTTCCCCAGTATTTTAGTTGTTTGGTGCACCTACAATTTTACTGGGGGTTTTCGCCTTCTAGACGAATATCTTCAGGATAAAATTTCTATATTTTTGGAGTGATGAAATTTCTATACTAGATCTAGTTTTGTAAATTCTTAAACCAATATATGCTTCTGGCATAATGATAGAGATGTTTAGTCCTAATTGAGGATTTCAACTCTTAAGATATTTTCTATGGACTTAGTCACTCCTTAGGATTTCTAGCAGATAATTTGTTCAATGTCTGAACTTCTGGTTCTATAAGGCTAGTACATACGATTTTTATCAATTTCTTGGCATTTAATTAATTAGAAAAGTTCAAATCTGCCCCTAATGCCGAGAAAAGATCTTAGAATGCAACCAACATCACCGTTGATTTCTCATGATGGGATATAGCTAGAAAGGTTGCATACTAAAAACAATTGAACGCAGATAGGGAAATGCATCATGTACTAGCGTATGTGATATGTAGTGGATCAGGATATTCAATTTTTGAAGGTCCCCAAAAAGAATATTTCCTCCAAAAATGCTTAATTTGCTTTCCGAAAAAAATGCTGTAAATAATATGAGCAATAATATGTCTTGCATGCATGGAGCTAACACCTCATAGTATGTTGATGAAATTAGACACCAAACAAAAAACTTGTCGAATTTTCACTTCTAGTGAAATAGTAGCCCCAACTCTCATAATATAATCCCGCTCCATATCATTTAAAATTTGCTTGGCAGTAATATAATTATTCCTTACAGTCTTGGCAGAAATATTAAAAGCAATTTAAAGTATGACCATTAGCATTTATCCATAGCATACAGATCGCGAAGCAATAATTTGTGTGGCAATTGGTTTATATATGCACCATCGGGAAGATATATATGGATAAGCAATATATATTGATTTTGATGGCAATTTATAAGGATAATGAAACATAATTATTGGGTGAGTTACACCAATTCCCATGAATGCACAACCAATTAACCATAAATAATAATAAAACTTGGTTAGTAAGCAAGAAACGCTATAGGGCTAGCTCAGAAGTGACCGTATCGTCTCCTTTCAATCAAGGCAGTGGCCCAATACTAATGACTAGCGATGAATCGCAACTGTTTGATGATGTTGCAAATTATCAAGATCATCCGGGGGCATGCTTATTAGATAACATATATGATATACCTATTTGGCCCAATATGCTTATTGCATAAACAAAATAAGAAAAAAATGTATGATATAATATAATATTATCATTATTTGATTTCGAAAACATGCAATTAATCTTTATATGCAAAGTATGGCTATTTGTGCCAAAAATAAATGCATACATTCGTGTTTCATAATTGATTAAAAATGAATCAATTAGAATCATCATGAACCACTTAGATGCGTACAGTAGCAGCAGTAGAAGTAAAAAAAATCACAGAACTGAAATTGGATGCTTAGTAGCAATCCTCTACTATACCAAAGATGAGTGTCTATAAATCAATCAGTAGCATAGAAAAATAAACTAGAGGTACTGGAATAGCTATAGACACTAATTATTTCAGTTTTCACCATTCCCCGTAGCACCATAGAGCATAGCAACTTTAACAGATTGGTTCCACCCAAAACAAACAAGA